CCCCCCCCCCCCCACGTCACCTCGTCTTTTCTGATGCCCTTTTTTTGTTTAATTTATATATTGTTTACTGTTTTTTTTTTGCAATTTATGCTTTGTATTGCATTTCTTCATTTTTTCGGCATACAACTAACTAAAAAATTTTAATAGATAAAAGCATTTTTTTACTTACCTATATGTTATTTAAACACAGGTATCGTGAACATTGTTCAATATAAAAAAATTAATATTTTGTTTACACAGTGTTGTTTCTTATTTTACATTATACAATTATGAATACGATTTTATATATTTCAACGGAATAAGGGCTCATGAAGAATATTAACCACATTTTTTTTATTAGTTAAGTACCAAATTTTCAGAAGAAACATTCACTCATCTAGCAGATAATATTAGCAAACCTGTAACGTGTTGTGTCGTTTGTTGTTTTAGTGTTTTAGACAGTTTTAGTTAACTATAATTTATACACTAGCTAAAACTTATCCGGTTCTTTATTCATGTTATAAACTACTTTTATCATTTTCATCCACACAAGTGGGTTGTGAACGGAGTTTTTCCAAGTTAAAATATATTAAAAATTTCTTGAGAAACTCAATTACTCAAGATCGTTTAGAATGTTTTATACTCATGATGAGTGTAGAAAAAGATATTTTGACTTCTATTAGTACAGATAGTGTAATTGATAAAGTTGCTTTAAACAGTAAGTCTTTTAAAAAAAATTAATGTACCTACTAACTATAAAAAAAAAATCTGTACTAAGAGTACCTATATTACTTATTATATATCTAGTTTTATATTGTATTGTTATATCAAGATAATATGTTGCTCTATCTAATTTTTTGGGGGCCCTTATTCAAATTACTTACCGATAAAAAAATACAAGCCTATTCGCCACTGGCCCTAGGCGTGGGCCAATGGCGCCTACCCCTTGAGCCGGTCTTGACTACAGGTTCTCAAGCTTATTTCATCCACCGCCCACTTCGAGAATCAATAATTTTCTGAAGTCCCCCAAATTTTTTTAACTTACGATCTGTAGACTCGGGGGGAGGTGAGACAAGGGAGAATGTGTGGGTCACATCCTCCCATAGCCCTTTTTGAAAACTTTTTAAAGTAGTGTTTTATTTAGTACAATGAAACATAACAAAAAAGCTATGGCATTTGTAAATTTTTATGTCACATCCAATAGATGGGATGGCGCACTATTACACTAATGAATAATTACAATTTCTTTATGTCTCATACCGCCCCCTTTGGAGGTTACCAACTCTCGCAAAAAGGCGCTATCATCCACTTCGAGAAAGCCTAGGGTACCTGCCCGTTGCCACCTGGGCTGCTCCAGCAATTTTTGTAAGGCGTCGGTCAACCGAGTTTTAAATCAGATGAGTCTCCTATAACTTTAATTAAAAAATATTTCTTTTATGTATTGTTATAATTACTATTTGCTTATAAAAATAGTATGTTTGACAAAATTAGGTATAGTATCTTTATTTTGTTAATAACATGTACATATTTTCGAATTGATTTCTCAACTTCGGGAAAACCTAAACTATGTAAAGACTTATGACGGATGATGTTCGCATCCACTAGGTATTTGATATTATTATTGTACCTACCTACCTATTATTTTTTGATTTGTAGCTAAATGCTGTAATCTAGGGTTATATAGATAAATAACATTTCTGTAGTTAAATAAAATTGCAAAAATACTGAAAATACTGTAGATTATTAATTGTAAATTGATAATACAGACTTTTTTAGGGGGGAAAGGGACTTACAAAAAATACAGCACCGGTTTGCTGGGGATTTTTTTGTTTAATTAGGGTAGTATGATTAGTACCGGTCCATTAGCTAGACTGCCGCTGCCGATGAAGTCTAGGCACACCTATGTTTCGGACGCTTATTTTTTCTTCTTTATGTCTCAGTCCCATTTTCATACTTGTGAAAATTTGTAAAGAAAATAACAATCGAAATATAAGCCACCAAAAATGATATATTTTCCAGTGGTTAAGTACGTATTGTCCAACTCGCGACGTCTGTTTGCAATCGAACTGAAGTGATTTAAAGTTGTTGAATGCCCTCACTCATATCTGATGGTTATCTTGCAACGCATACAAATTCCTGACGATAATTAAAATATAAAATATTTTGTAATCCATAAAACTGTATTATTTCTAAATAATATCAATATTCAATAAATAAATATTTGGTGAAAAATTCATGTCGCGTCTCTTTGAATTACAACCAAAATTAATCAAACTTTTTTTAATAATTAAATTAACCAATTTTCAAAGTATTTCGACAACAGTAATATTGTGATTGTTCATCACGATTTAATAGATATTATCTTATATAGTTATATCTTATTGTTATATTCTTTGATCTTACCATCTATACTATCTAATTTTCTATCTTAAATCGCGATGTTCATGAATCTTTAATTTCTAATTTACAGTGAACCTTTTTCAAAGGCGTTTACATTTTTTGTATTTTTTTCATAGACAGGTACTAGTCACTAGGTACTATAAATAAATACGACAAAATAACTACTATGATAGTAATATTATACTAATTTATTAATAATAATAATAAGTTAAGACATTTTTTGTGGTGATACATATTTTTGATCTAAAAAATAATGAATAATTGTTGGTTGAGATATTCCATTTGGCCCAAGCACACATTACTGCATATCTGTAAATGAAAATAAAAATAATTAACGCACACAATATGAATGGTCCTTGTAGACAACCGGTAGGTAACATCCGGTAATCGGTATTCGTCATAAACGTACCTATACCTAGACAGTGCCCAGGTATAGCTATGTTAAAAGCGGTAAAACCATTACGAAAAATCATAAAACTTAAACCATGATGCGAAAAAAATGTCTTTACCTATGTATAACTGTTTTTCAGGTGCAACATATTATTATTATTATCTACGAGTGTGATGATATGTGTCACACTCTACAAATTATGTTTTCGTCGGCCATCAGCTAGTGACGACCACGCACTTCGCGTACGGCATCACTCCGTTGTACAACGAACTGGAACAACTTCTCTGGATCACTGTATCACTGACGGACATGCCTACAATGGTCCTGCACAACGAACGCAAGAAAGTCTCTAATTGTGCACTCGAGGTGTCGGCGAAATACCGAGAATCGTACATGGTCCCGCTGGTCTGTAAAACACAAACAAATAATCGTTTTGATTCGATATTTGTATGGAAATTTACGTCGTCTCCGTCTCGTTCGGTGGCTTTCACGGAATACAGGGCGGATGAAATTGGCGGAAAAACCAATATCATATATTATGGACATAGATTTCGCCATATTTAATAGCGTGTAACGTACAATTATATACTATATAGGTAGGTACCTGCAGCCTGCAGGCTACTTATTAGGCACAATAATGGTTAAAAGCAAAAAAAACAATATTGTGTTTAAAGATAATCGATACTTTTTAAGTCGTTAGTCGATTTTGAATGCTCACCATTTTTTAATGCATTACATTTGCGGCCTTATAGTTTATTATTATCATTTTTTAGTACTTTCACCTACCCGTCCAGCGGGGATTCCTGAAAAGGCTACTCTACGCCGTCAGTATCATACTTACTCGAATTTTATTTTACTCACCATTAACACCAAATTCGTCTCTAATGATTTGTCGTAAGTATACATGTCATCGCTGTATTTACCGTTCGGCGACGTTCTCGTATAAATCTTGTTCGCACCACTCGCTCCTGGAAAAACAACAAATTATTAAAGCAAAATTTATAAGACCTTTGTACGTGCGGATACATATTTTATACATGAAAATGTGTATCGTATAAATACATAGACACATATAATATCATAATTGCGTTAATATTTAAATACAAAATATAGGTATCATAGGCGGAAATCGAGGTGAAGGCTAAGCCCCTACATATCCCATTAGCCCCTCCAAAAAAACAAATAAGGTTTTAATTGTGTACGGAATTGAAGCCCCCTCCTCTCACATTGTCGTTAAAACTATGTTAGAACCCCTTAAGGCTGAAATGTCAATGGATTTCCGCCTATAATATAGTACCTAGGTAGGGACTCACCGAAAATTCCATCTTCCGAAGCCACACTCAGATTTATGGGGGCGATCAAGTAAAACGTGATACCTTGTTTCATATACCATGAGGTTACGTAGTTTATCGTGTACTGAGATACCTGCAGCGATAGGTTGTACATTTTTAGTCAATTATCATATTGTTTTGCTTGAGACTTGAGTACTTACGCCTAAAACGGATTCTTGGGTGCTGTATAGAGATTGTGCAATGGACAAGACGACTTTAACAGCATTCGCTCTGAATGGGTAATCAGCCGAAAGTTTGTATGCTTTGTCTTTTGAATTTTTACCTGGAAATGAAATAATAAGCACATTTGTGTCGGTCTAATAAAGTCTATTGTACATTTACATCACTTTAACGAATTGTGTAATCTAAATCTATAGGTATATCATAGATATACTCAAAATTGTAATTGTTTAAATTAATTAATGCTCGACTAAAAATTCAGACTTATACAGAGTTGGTTATTCGATATGAGAATTAGAGATGGTGAAATTACATAAGTGAATATTGGTATAGGTACTATATAATTTAATTGCGGGTTGCATATTTAAACTATTATCCACCTCGTGGATATTAGTTACGCTTTGCCAAAAACAAGTTGAAAAAAATTACATTTTTAAATGAAGTCCAACAATAAGATAATATGTACACATCTTACCCATAACTTTTCTAAATGAATGCATCAGCTGAGATTGCAGTCTACTCGTCTCTGGTTCGGTGTTGGTCTGAGATTCTGTCCATTCCGGTATATTGCTCAATAATTTTGTATAGTCATCGTCGTCGTTAGCTGTATACATATGCACTTCAGAATCTGTACTTTTTCCAGAGTATCCAATAAGAATAATTTTGACGTCACTAAAACCCAGTACAAAAATAGTAAATTATAAAAATTAAAATGTTTAAATTGTTTTAAAATGATTTACATTAGGTAGTTTATTCGCTTGATTTTGATTAATACTTATTACTTATTAGTTATGAACTTATAAACTTAAAACTTAATAATTTGTTAAAAGTTGTAGAAGAGTAGCTACACATATTATTATAGTGTATTTTTAACACAGAAAATATATATATGTTAAAAATATCTCGGAAATAGACAGTATGGATAGTGCCACAGTGGTGTAGACAAATGTGATCATGATAATTTTATTAACATGCGGCGTATATTATAAATTTTTTTTACAAAAACCATGAAATACCTATAATTGTTCCAACTCAATTTATTTAACTCATTCTACTTCTCTGTTGTCTAGATCAATCGTAAGTCGTAACCTGTCAAACAACTATTTTACCACTTTACCAGTATAGTTGGAGCAGTTCCCAAGCACTTGGTATTATTGTGGTAAACTAGTAAAAACTCTATCACACTATTACTAACTTAAAATGTGACGCGCCGCGTCGTATACTTAATACTTTAGTTTAACTCGTTACTTATATGTTGGATATTATATAATATCTCAACTCGAACCACACGATGGTACGATGCAGCGTGTAAGCACTGTAAGCACATAACGCCATAACATGTACTCATCTTATTTGATATAATCATATTTACTTTATTCCTTTGCTGTTAAAATTGCTCTTAAGTTTTTTTATGAAAGGATTCAATATTTCCGAAAATGTTTGTTCAATTTCTACGACTTCTTCGAACAAAATCATGACATCTGCTACATCGTTTGGATCAGATATCTGAACATTCGTGTTCGCATCTATCGTTCGTTCATGTACCGAAGTCGTGACTATATTATAGAAAAAATAAACATCAATTATTTAAAACGCATATTATATATATTTTTATAAAAAGCTATTATTTCTATAATAGATTATCAAAATCACAGAGGACAGAGCATTATGCTGATTACAATTTTCGAAATGCCCACATAAATTATACACAGTATTTTGTATCTTTGCCCGGTATACAATAGTATTATGAAAACTTAGGTGAATTAGAGATCAGCACTACGAGTGTCTGATATTCATAAATAAAAGGTGCCAGACACGGGGGAGATATTTATTACAGTATCGTAGCACGTACACTCATAAATTAATTTAAATTATCTTATTGAAATATGTCTGTATTTAATACTAAGAAAAATGAAAAGGTAACCTATTGCTATATACGTACCTAATCTAAGGTAAAAACACTAAAAACTATACGATAGCCTCAATAGTTTAAAAATACATTTTTAAAGTACAAATATGAAACATTACTGACAAGAATCACAGTTTAATTAGGTGAAGGTACTTACTGCACATATCCGGAATATTACAACTTGACATATAGTTTTGTCTGGCCATGCTCACGAAAGCTTTAGCCACTAAACAAGCCTTATTCAAACTGTCTTGTTCAGATGTAGCTGTAGAAACGATTTGATTACAAATCGATCTATACGCTGCTGGAGCTATAGCTGGGAAAAATGGTCTAAACACACACACAAAAAAAAATTGTAAGTGTGTAATCATTAATTACATTTATGTTATCGGCAAGAAAGTCATTAACTATGGATTAATTAATTCATTCTTTATATGTTTACTTCAGAGAAGATTTTCCAGAGAACAAGCTGGAACAGAGTGGTACATCGGTTTGTATTAAATCAATATTAGTCGGTTCGGTGTTCCCTGTTTGTCTGTACGCCAACAAAAATGATGCCATGTCATAGGATAACTAATACGAAAACAAAGTTTAAAATTATATAGATTCAGCGTTTGTTCTTTGTTTATTTTTTATTTTTTTCATAGGTTAGGTTTACTTCTCCATTAGGTAGTCTTAAATCAAACTGAGGTTCTTGATTCATTGATCCTAGTAAGCCATGCACTTGACCATAATAGTATCCATTAATGAACACTTGAACAATATTTAAATCAAAAGTGCATTTAATACTGACACCAACAGCAACGTCAATTCCAAATGAATAAACATCTCTAAATGTTTTTAAATTGTCATTTATAAGTGGAAAATCAGCATCTTTGCCATTAACGGTAATCTGTAAACATTGTTTAAAAGTAGAAGCTACAATTTGATCATCAAAATCTATATTCTTAGAAAAAATTAAAGAGATCACAGGACTATTCTAAAGGGATTTCCCGGTTATGATGAAAATAATAGTCGTAAATTTAGTTTCTCTCCAAAAAATATATATAATACTGATAAACGTTATTTAATATACATTTTGTTAGTATATAACCTATTTACTTATTATTTTATTTATAAATTGTGTGGACTGCAGTACCTACTATCTGTATTGTAAATCTCAATAGTTATTTTTTTACTTACACTTCCTCCGGAAAGCAGTATGTATTTTTCGCCATTATAGATTGAAATCGATATTTTTGTTAATGTGTTATATTCGTAATAAGCAAGTATTGAAAATTTGTTGTTTACAAAATCCTCTGCCAACAAATAATAACCAGTGTTTGGCATGAAACTGTAAGGATGACCATTGTATGTAATTATATTGACTGAGTCGATAATAACACTTTGCACTGCATAAACGACAAAATAAATAAAGTGTGAGTTAATAATTTTTATAACACTTTAAAAAATAATGTAGGTTTATACATTACCATCAAACGGTGGTATTAAATTCGACGGATTCAAAAATCTATGATACAATTGCGTATTATATTCATTGAAGTCAAATAACAAAGGATTTTCATTAATTGGATATGGGAATGTGCTTGGCGAGGCTATGTGAAGAATAGTCTGGCCAAAAGCAGTAAGTTTGCGTAATGCATTGTACATTTTCATTGCTCTGTCGTGATCTACGTAGTTGGAGAAATCAAATATCATTGACTTCACAACTATAAGTCCTTTATTCCTTAAGGTTATGATCTCCCTTTGGCTTACCGGTATGTCATGAATGATCTGTACGATTAAATTCAAATTATAAACATAAATTGAATACTCTTAAAATTATATACACACAAGTACACGATACTAACATTATTTATGTACTTATCTAAAGCATTGATAAAACTACCAAAATCTCTGGTCGGAGCTGAATTTTCTAAGTCTTGCAAGTAGTTGTGTATTTGTCCCCATACTTTTTCTTTGTAAGGGTATGATTTTAACTACAAATAATTATTATTAAAAAATTTATGAATATAGTAAATTATAGATTTTATTTCGTGCTTAGAATATTTTACCTTTTCAATTTGGTCGTGTAACATGTCATAAAGTGGCAAGCTCTTGATAAAATTCTCTGTTAAATCTTTAATGTCATTTATTGTATCTTCAAGTTTCTCGATGGCTTTCATAAATTTATCCATGACTTCTAATTAAGAAAACAAAAATCATATTTATTTTTGGGCCTCCATATACCAATTATCTGTGAGGCACAGTTTAATATACATTTAGTTACACTGTAGTTCACTATAGTTCAATATTGCATTATAAAATAAATAATAATTTATAACATTATATAGGTTTCACCCACACATTTTTTTTAAGCCAAAAGGTAGCGAGGTTTTAAAATTAATTTAATCAACAACTAATATCTTACTATTATAGTACTCTTTAACTGAACGAGGTTCTGATGACTCCATGTCATTCACAGGTTCATCAGTGTATAGATTTAACTGTCTAAATAAGTCCAGTAAAGTAAGCTCCATTTGGTTCATTAATTCATCGATATTTTGCACCAACTTATTCAAAAGTACATTTGAATGATCTGAATAATACTTATATATTTTCTTTAAATAATTTCCCATATGTCCATTTAGATGCCTAACCGAGTTTATGAAGTAGTCACTGTTATAATTCATAAAATCGATAACATCGGAAAATACAGCTTCTGTGGTATTTTGTCTACAAGTAGGTATAATATATTAATTTACCTATCGTATTAAAAATATATTATGTTGTATTTTTTTTAAATTTACATCAACATTGGTATTTGTGGTATATAATCATCTTCCAAGACTTCATTAAGTATTTTTTTAAACTCATGACCTGAATATTCCATTAATGCACGATATTGTGGTTGGGCTTTTCTTGCTTCGTGCAAGCGTAATTTACGCTGTTTTTTGGCCACAGACATTATATTTACCATATTGCTGTGTACACTTATAAATATTTCAATGAATTGTCCCTTTAATGATTGCTAGAACACAAGAATCGTATATTTTTATTTTAAAAATGTGGGCAAGCAGGTACCGCCTTGCTGTACAGTAGCCAGCAGGTGAGACGAGTGCACTTCGTCATTGAATAGGTACTGTATAGTGTAATATATATATGACCTATCTGTTAAATAAGAATTTAACGATGAATCACTGTATACGAAAAACGATTCTGAGCGAAGACGGTCTGTCAGTTTGTATTACTAAGTACATTTTATCATATTTTTTTGTAGGCTGAATTGGTTTTGGCCTGATAACGTATTTATATTATACATATTTATTAATTTTTGGGTCAATACCGACTTACCGTAAACGGTGTGTATAAGTTCGTAATAAATATAAGAAACAATTTAAAACTAATCTAAATATTTTAATAATGTCATCGCGTATGACGATACTAAAATATAATCATATAAATAACCAAGTATATTTTTGAATTTTCGAATTAGAAAAAAAACTAAAATCCTTATTCTTTGTTTAAATATCCTTTTTGCCGAAAAACCGAACTTCAAACACAAGCAATTTTTTTATGTATTCTTCATATTTTTAAATTGGTATAAGAACAACTTTTATAGGTTCAAATTTCCCAGCATTTTGGGCAGTCCTATACATTTTTATCAACACTAAAAAAAATTTAACCCCCATCCATCACGATTCAATTTCATAAGAGAAAAATAATGAAGTTGAAGATTGAAGCTGATTACAGCTACAAAATGTGATGATGGATGCAGAAAATAAAAAATACACATCATTATTATAAAACCAATTACATTGATCGTTCCGCTCAAAATCAAAACAAATTCTGTTATGTAAATTATATGCATATACCCAAATTTCGTTAGATTGTTCTGTACTCAAATGGTTACTTGTGTCCCACCAATTTTGTTCGTCTAAGGATTTTTTGACGTATCCCACAGTCACGACGTCATTACCATCGTTTAGTATACGAGTAGCACTAATAACGGCCGATTCATCCATAACGATAGTACCGTCTACCATCAGCTTTTCATGACTTCCCGTTTTATCTAATAAAGATAATATACATCATTTGAATGTAAAATTAATCATCTCATGTGAAGTTAGTACATACTTTCCCATCCTATTATGAATTTGAAACTTGGATTTGAGGTTAACGAAATTTCAAAGGAATATGGATGATCATTGTACTTTATGTTTGAACGTGTATTCAAAACACCATCTTTGACCATAATTGACGAATCAACATCGATCACGGCAATATCAAAAATGTTCATCTATGTGAAAAAATATAGTTAGTTTTTACACGCTCATACCAATATTAATAAAGGTAATACAGACTTGGTTAGTAAATCCTCTAGGCACTAATTCAAAATGTACTTTAAGAGGTCTAATAATATTATCAGTATCAATAAAATGTGCGTCTAAATATTTTCCCCATTTTTCACTTGAAACATATATAGAATCATTAAATCCGTAATTTAATTTCATTCCCTAAATAAAAAAAAAACAATACGGTATTATTAAGACAATTATTGTTTCAAATGTAAAATTTGTTTAACATGCTTACATCGCTTTCAGCAAACAGCAACGCAGAATACAAAACTCCACTATCTTGAACGTCTCTCTTCAAACTAGTACGCAGTTTTAATTTTTGATCGGTAGTGGGGAAAATGTCAAGTTCTAATTGAACACTTAGAGGATTTTCCCAGTTTTTAAACATTTGGACATTGGTTTTGACACCCATTTCCTAAAATTGTTAATGTTTTATGGAAGAGTTTTTATACATACAAGCTAAATTATTCATCTTACCTTATCATTAAATAATGGTACACATATTTTTATATTACTGCCTGTAGAAAATCCTTCTTTAAGTGAATAGTAAGTATTTATTGACAAGGTGCTTTCTGAATTTGGGTCTGAAATAAAATCTAACCACATTCGTCCCGCATAAATAAAATTGTATCCTCCTTCAATATCGTCCAAACTATAACGCACTAAGCCTCTAATTTCTCGTTGTTTATATAAAAACTTGAATGCTACAAAATATTATATTTTTTGGTAAAATACAATGTATGTATATTGTATATATTAAAAGTATATAAAATCCAACCAGTTTTTTCATAGTTTGTAAGCCATTTAAATTCATACGAGTCAGTTAAACCTTCTGATGAATGAATTTTAAGAGTATGCTCTTCGTCTAATGAGTAATCGCCAAATTTAATATAGGAGTTAAATTCTAATTCATTTTGGTCATCACTAATCAAATAATGAAAAACATTTGGGGAATCGACCTTGGATATTAATTTATAAGACCAATCCCATGCACCTAAAATATAATAATTATTACTAGGTATATCACATACTTCAAACATTTTTTTGTTTATGATTAATTTATACTTATTATATGATATTCTAAATCCATCATTATTTTTTGTTTCTCATCATCTACTTTGTTAATTTGTCTGTACTTAAGCGTTCTGTTAGTAACTTTTAAAACTTTTTGGTATGTAAGTTGCTGATTATTATGCAACAATGCAATTTTGTACGCGATCTAGAAATATATTATAATGTTTAAATTATGTCTAGACAGAACTCATCGTTATAAATACTTGTTTTCCAGTAGCGTATTCTTCATCTGTGTAATTTTTATACGCTATTTCAAAACTTATAGGTTTGACATTTTGTGACTCATCGTAAATACTCTTTCCAGACACATAAAACTCTCCATTGTTTAGTTTTAATTTATATACGAACCTTTAATAATAATTCATTAAAAATAATTCATCTTATAATAATGAAATGTCAAAAACCTTACTTTTCAGATAGTAAAATGTTATCATTAGATATGCAACGAACTGTAGCAATTCCGCCATCTTTAATTTCGGGATGAGGTTCACTAAAAAGTGATATGTGGAAATTTTCTAAATGTGTTAATGGAAAATCTATGTTTCCAATAATGTGTGTATCACTTCCGTTCAAAAGCATTTTTCCATTTGCATTCAAATAATTTGAATTTTGATCACCAGGCCATAAAACCTGTAAAATTCAAATTTATAATTTATAAATTATTTTAAAAGTACTTTCTATCAAAACAAAAAAAAATAATAATACAAATAAAATTCATGTTATGATCATAATTAAAACATACTTGTGAATCAAATAAATACGTATTTCCTTTTTCTGACCAACCACGTACATTCATATAAGACTTATATTCAGGATTGGGAGAATCAAAATGCATTTTATAAGTAATATCATCTGCTAATATATTCATATCAACCGTGAAAGTAGAACCATCGTAAACATCATAATAAATAGTATACTTGAAAGAATCATCGGTGGACTAAAAACAAAAAAAAATCAAAATATTAAGTTATGTGTTAAAAATAGTATTTACATAGTATTTACTATTTAGCTTTTATAAGGTATAGCTATCCTGACCTGATGTCCCGTATTAAAATGATATCTTCCAAATGTTTTTGGGTCTTCTGAATTAAATTCAAAATAACTACCATCTTTGTTCTTATTTTGAATATATTTGAAATTTCCGTGTCCAGCAAACGATGGATCCGAAACGAGAGAATGCTCTAAAAGCCCACGAACGAATATTCCCGTTTCTTCAGTACTTGGCAAAATAGTGATATTACCTTTACAAGATAGGGTATAATTAATAGAAGCAAAACTTATTATTCAATCAAAATGCTCACCATTAAATGACATATCAAGTACATTGGAGGTCTTGATATATCCGTGAGTTGTGAGTTCACTGTTTTCAAACAATACATCACAGTTGGCTTCAAAATAATCATCGTCCCAACGGATATGATTCTTACTTAAGAATATGTATGGTGCTCCAGTATGAAGTTCTTGGGATGTAAGTAAATTCAAAGTCTTAACTTTATTTAGTAAAGCTACAAATTTGGACATTGGTTCATAATCATAGCTTTCATCAGACTCCAATAATTGTTGTTTAGCTTGTTCGTTTCTAGTCATATCTAACTTTAAGTCCAATTTAAATATAGGATGATCTCCACTAAGAAGTCCATATATGTTAATAGTAACACTATTGGCAATTAAACTGACATCTCCTAATACTTTGTTGTTTTCAAAAGTTAACGACCCTTGTAAAGAATGTCTGGTCTCGGTAGTAACAACAGCAACGTCTCTTAAAGTTAATTTACTAGGGTAATTACTTTCAGAATTCGTATTACGTTTCACGAGAACGTACCCCTCTATGTCAAACATAGGTACGAGATGATGTCTATGTTCTTTAGTGTTCACTTCTGTAGAGTATTTAGCTTCAAGTATTGGTGAATATTTCATTGTTTCATCGTCCACCTCTTCACATTTTACTCCAGCACTAAAAGTGTGCTGGGAACCATCAATATATCTAACTTCTATGGTTTTTTGCTCGTCAGAATCAACTAATGTACCTTGGATGATTTTTTTAGTGAATGGAGTTTTAAACTCTGCTAATATTTTGTTATGTGCTTTAGTATCATAAACAACGACCAACTCCAAACCACGTTTGATATCTGCTTTCGGCGTAACAAATATGAACTTAATATATTTTAACGTTGGTGCTATGAAATAATTATAAATAATTAATTGATTATTGAATGAATTACTGATGATTAAATATTGTAAGTATACTTACACTTAAAGTCATAATTTCCTTTCACAACATATTTAGTGAGGTTTTCATCAACTTTAAAAACTTTTAAAGAAAGTGACGATGGACCAGAAAATGGAAGTAACGATTTTAACTCTCCGTTCCAAGGATAATTATAATCAACATAAAAAGACAAGCCTACAGTATTGCCAAAACTTTCAAATGCTCTGGTATATGATTGCCTAAAAATGTAACTGTTACTATCCATGTATTTTAAAATACAAATTTCATTGTATTTTCTGCAGGTGTATTACCTATCAACATCTGTAGACGTAATTGGTATTTCTACCGGCTCACTTCCTTTTTCCTGCACAATCGAAAAAGCTCCAGATTTTATAGTCAGTATATCCATGACGTTCAAAGGAAGTCCATAAACCATTTCAAAGCCACGACCTTGAACCGTCTCTAATGAAAAATCAAATCCTGTAGATGTATGAAGTGAGGACGATATTTTATATCCGACATCAACAGTATATCCGTCTATTGTTAAAAATGAGTTGAAAACAAGTGAACCGCTGAAAATAATTGACATAGATTCATCAGTTATAATTCATTTTAAACAATAATCAATAACATAATATATCTTATCCAATTTTTTAGCCCAATTCGTAAAATTAGAAAGCAAATTTCATAATATAATATGAACTGAACTACAACATTTTGGTTAAGTATAATTGTTTGAATCATATTTAAGCTTTAAAATACACTGAACATTTTCTTGACCTATTCATGAATGAAGATCACTTTCATATTTTATGTAAATTCCATAATATATAACTAATATTATAACAAATAAGATACATTTTAATATTTATAATAAAATCACCTAGGTATGAGTTTGAGTGCAAAATTTGAATTTTCTGGATGTTTGAAATAACTATCTAAATCGAACGTAGTAGCTAAATCAAATTTAATAGCTGACGTAGCCTGGATTTTTAATGAAATTGGAAGTCCAGAACATGTTGCATATTTCTTTTCAAAATCGATGATTGGTATCTGTTTCCTTAGACTCAACTAAACACATATTATGCATTATTATTTAATGATCAAGCAGATATTTATTTTATTTAAATGGACGTTGAAATAATTATGTACTTCTATATTCTTTTTATCGGTTACTGAATTATCAAAATTATTAAGTATGGCATCAATTATATGTTGGTAAGTAATTTGACATTCACTTCCTTGCAATGAAAACCAACCAAGATCATTTCCAAATAATTTAAGTGCTATATCTACATATATTTTTTTCATTTCTTCTTCAGGCATATTTTCACAAGCCTGCAAAAACAGTATATATTAATTTACAAGTATTATACACATTTATTCAGGTTTATGTTTTTACTACAAATACCATACAATTTAAGTTTTTTTAAGTTCTAAATATTTCACATTTGAGTACAATTCATAATATTTACAGTAAACGGTCGTTAAAAATAAAATTGTATAATTCCTGGATAGAAAATAAAAAGCCATTGGCCATACAGCCGAACTATAAAAACGTATACTAGTTGTATGGTTTAAAAAACAAATGTGTTTGAAATAAAAATTATGTACTGATATATTATAAATAACTTACTTGTTTAAATGACGATTCTGAATTTACGCCATTCTGTTCTCTATTCTTAGCATAGTTTATTGCTTGAGTTACGTAATTTTTAACATCATCGAAAGTAGATCCCTTACTTTTTGCAAAATATCCTTCGGGTCCAAATAGTTTTTCCAGTAAAGGTTCCAAGTTTTCAATACGGACATCAATCTAAATTTTAACTAGTTAGTACCTATAAATAATTTTTATTTTTTTAATAATAGTGTTATAATATTTACATCAATAAAGTCATGTTTGCGTCCAAATATGAACGCTTTCAGTGATGCCGAAGAAGACCGTGCCAAAAAAGTTCTGTAAAAAATATATATGATAAATTATGAAACTTTCTACTTAAGTTAATAAATATAATACTGTTATATGTATATGTTGTATTACTTATATGAATAAATCACATCAGCGTCCAACAAAACTCCACTATGTAGGATAGGGCATTGATAGTTATACTCCAAATTTCGTGAGTAACGCAAAATATCATTGAGTGGTTTTTTTGATGACATCGATTTAATTCCTTCATAAAATCTCTTTTGATCTAGTTTATTTTCGTCTGCGGTCGTCTGTAAGTTACTCAAGTAGCTGAGTAAGTATGCTCGAACTAAAATAAAAATTCGATGGAAACAATTATTATAGTATCATAATAATTGTGTTTATTTTTTTAATACTATTGATAGAAACGTATTGATTAAAAGAAATATTAAATATATGCACATTTGTCTTTTTGCATACTAAAGGATAAAATATATAAGTATTAATCTTTTGTAATACCACATTTTTTCTATGGCCTTAGTAATGGATTTCTCACTTATTGTAAATGGTATTAATAATGTATTTAATTGGTACTCATATCTTCGCAACATTGGCATGAAATTAAGGGTTAGCGTAATATAAGAAAATAGGTAAATATAATTCGTACGTTTATTACTTGTTACTTGTATCAAGTTTAAAAAATGAACTGAACTAATGATTATATCTTAAACAATAATGTTTGATCAAATGATAATAAAATTTTTCTTGATCTTACTTTGGAGTTGGGTGTTTTTGTCATCTAATACACTTTTTATAACAGTTGCTTTATAGTTGGATGGATTAATAGCAAATACTTTAAACGCTAAAATACGCAGTTCGGAATCTTCTAAGTAGTCGGTAAAAATGCTTTCACAGGCTTTCTCCACCTATAAACACAATATGTTACTAAATAAAAATTAAAAATTTTGTTGGTTATAGATAAAATATTTTCGACGAGCTTAAAGATATCACAACTATATAAGTATATCTTATTTGTTTATACAATTATCTTAACGATGGTAAAATACTTGTCATAAACAGAGTGAAATAAATATTAATAGATTTATTGGTGATATTTTAATGCATGTCGATAAGCGGAACCTGATTAAAATCTAATATGTATTTTTGCATACCTTTGAATTCTTAGCATAGATTTTAACCATATTCAATGCTGCTGCTCTAATCCTTTGAATAGTATTTTTATCCATAGTAATCTGGATAATCAAATCTTCTAGATCACTATTTATGTATTGAGCATAGCCGAGACCCTTTAGACTAGCAATAATTAAGTCTTCGTCATTTGATGATAATGGACCATTGCCCACTTTCTTTAATGGACTTCCTAAATTACTCAAAGTATTTCCTACTTCAGGACTAATATAATCCTGAGTGTCTTGTTGGTATTGTCTTAACAAAGCGCCGATACCCAGATAGCCCGCTTTTAGAGCTCTGTCATTGAGTAAGCTCTATAAATAATAATAACATTTTTATCATTTAAATTTTTTTTACAATAACACGCAAGTGCAGAGTGAAAATATTTAAATGGATTTACTGATGCTTTGACCACTGCCTCTTTAGTTGGATTTTTTGCGTTTGCCAAGTTATTAAACCATTGAATAGTTAATGAATCGCTTAATTTATGACTATTTATGAGTTCTACAGCAGCTTCAATAGATTCACCACTATTAGCAGCCATGAGAGCATCGATGAAAATTGACCTATAAGAGCATTATTAATGTGTTACAATGAAGATTTAAACTTTTGAATATTATTTTTAATAATTTTATCAACATACTCTGGTACTTCGGTATCCTCATTTCCGCTGCCGCTCATAATCTGCTGAAACGCAGAAAGTATGTCGTCCTTCTTTGCCACTTTTAATAATTGTACTAACACTGCAAATCTATCAGCACCGTCCATATCGACTATTGGTTCGAGTTTAGTCAAAGCCGATTGTGTTGCAGCTACTAACGTACCCGCATCTGCCAATCCAATTAATCCAGTTGGTTTTTCAAACATGATTGATCGGCTTTTGCTCAAACGGCTTGTAGAAACTACAGGGAACACGAACACATTACACATGAATATGTATAACATATAAAATAAAATAACGGGTGCACCTGGGTGTGTGTGTGTGTGTGTGAGTGAGTATTTTAAAATAAAAACAGGAAGATCATTTTTCTTACGGGGTTGAATCATTGTGGTTTTCGCTAGCTGCAAATTCATGGATACCATTATTCTAGTTGGTACATCAATTGCGCCAAATGGTTGATAGATGAAAGTCTCTTTATTGGCGACGGACATTAATTCGGAGTCTTTTATTTTGATTTCAGAAATCTGAACGGCTGTTGAGAATGGAGAATCTTCATACATCTGTACAAACATAGTAATCCAAAAAAGATATCTCAATCACTTAAATTTCTTGTATACCTAATATGTTTATTATGTTGGTGTGTATATTATATTGTATACTAACCGGATACGATTGCATCTGTGAAAATCCCATCAAATTGATTTTATCGTGCCCCGTGCATTGTGCGAGATCTTTTTCTTTCGTTATTGTAAGGTATGGGTCCGACCATGTCCCCGGATAATATGTAGTATTACATGTTCCTTGAACATCGGTCTAATAGCACAATATATTAATTATGATTAGTGTCACTGAGACACGAACGCTGTATTACAATAAAGATAATTTATAGGACAGCAAATAGGTACCTCGAAATATTCTTTTTGGTCTCCTTGTATTGACGATACTTGCAATGATGAAATTATCGATCGTTTTAAATTCATTGATGCGACAGAATCCTGAGCTAGCGAACAGATATTCCGACCGACTTTTCCGTTGTTGTAAGAAAACAGAACAGGGTAGCCTTCTAGTTTCTGTAAGTCTTCGTGTTTGTAAGTCTGTGACAAAATATACAAGAATAATAGGTAATCATTTTGCAGTTTTGTGGAAAAAAATATATACTCTCAGCAAACGAAACCACGCTTACCTTCGACCCTTGAGTTATTTCAAGATTCTTAAGATAAAGGATGGCGCCACATTTTTGTGTGCCGATGATATTTGCCTTTCCTTTGATCGTTACTTCTGATATTACCTCTCCGGTTGCGGTCGGAGCAAAAATGGTGGTCTTACCACTGAACAAATACCTATGTTTTTTGTTCTCGTCAAACCCTACATTGCCATTTGAAATTCCTAAAAGCATATTTCAGGGTCATTTGAAAATTGTTATACATAACGACTGTGATAAAGTGATGTATAAATAAGCATATTTCAAAGTGTACGAACCATCGGTACATTCTGAGGAACATGGTATTATTGCACTTTCTTCGGAATCCGTATGAATAGTTAAAATCGATTCTGAAAATTAAAATTTTAATTTAGTTCAATTTCGTATTCTAGGTATTCATTTGTTCTTCTCTTTCTATATATTTTTATTTCATGCAACTTTTGACTTTGCAAAGTGGAACTTAACCACTCTTAAGACATAAAAGAGTACCTATACTACTGGATACTACCGTCGAGTATAAATACTATGTAAACACTGTATTTGTAATCATTAATCAATACACAATATGCATATTGTATTTGTGTAGTAACAAAATGATTGCCTCTCCCCTGATTTATGCTTTTGATCAATGCCTGATTTGCACCAAAATAAAGATATGTAATTTGCACTCTCACAGGTAGGAGGTATAGCCGATATAGGTAGTAAAAATGTGAATTGCAATATGCTCCAAAATTCAAATCAATTTGTTTTCGATATTATGCACACCGTACACGTTTCCACAGTACAGTACTACAGTAAGTAGGTACGAGATATTGTGACGTGAAAAGGTAGTAGGTACTAACATCTAACACAGAATATTCTTAAATTAAACTCATTCTATGTTGCTACAATTGTATATTTACTCGATCAGCAGAATATGAGACGTTTATTAACTTAATATACTATAAATGACGACGTCGGTGTCCGAGTATAAAAATATACAGCAAATAACAATATAGTTTAATATTATAGTGGTTAATTTGTTTTATTTTTTTTAAGATATTATTGTCATTTGTCATTCGAGTCGTCGAGTATCATTAACACTGAGTGTGTAAACTAGGGTAGATATCGACGAAATAATCGAATAGATAGGTAGGTACCGAACAAATGACCGGTAATTGCTGATCTGCACATACGACATACCTATAATAATACATCGTAAAATAATACAACCAAGAAGTACTATATAATTATATAAGTTTTCTCAATGAAACTAGATTATATAGTGAATGGCTAATAGATGTATGATTTTAATTATAATTTGATAATACCAACATCATACAATTTATAAAATAAATTCTATCAAATAACTTGATTTAAGTCACATAATATCACAATGTAATCACAAATTCACAACACTGTAAACTCATTTTCAGGTACCTAATGGGCTTTAAAGATTGATACAAAATTCAAACAATACACGTATATAATTTTAAAATAGGTATACTTAAGTTCATTTTATTTAATTATAAATACAAGTTCATTAATATTATTCAAATATAAGTACAACTTACTCGAATGTCTTATTGACGAAGCTAATCCTACTGCTAATGCTAGCAGGAATAACTTAATTAGTGTCTTCATGATTACCCAAGAATTATTTTAACCAAATTAGTTAATTTGGTTCACGTAGCTTATGGTTTCACATGCATCAAGCAAATTAATTATACGATATTTTCTTTGCAGTAAATATTTTGTAAAATTACCTAAAAATAATAAGACAATTTTAAAATGGTAGTTTTCAGTTCAACCAAATTGAGGGTAAGCAACTGATATGCATATTGATATTTGAATTTTTTAATTGGATTTATATTTTTTTTTCACAGTTTCAGCTACGGCTCAAAAATATAAATACACTATAGCATCTTTTAATTGGATCTAATTGGTATTATGATTTTTCCATAAATACATGATAAATTGCATGCCCATTATTTAAATATGTATTGTGTATACATATTAATAATATAAAGGTAGGTATCAAGGTAATGAAATTCCAGATCTTTTTTTTCTGAAAATATCACATGAACATAATAGTTTATATCCCTAACGGCTAATAATACTTCTTACAAAGTTATAAATATAACAATTTAAATGCAAATGTAAAATGAATGTACCTATTTATGGTGGAAATATTTTCCAATTATTCAAATATTTCAAATAGATGACAAACTATCATAGGCATTGCTTGGCACACAGGATAAATTTATTTTTATTTGTTAATCATACTTAAGACAAACTTTGAAAATAAGTATATGGATTAAAAAAATAGGAAGGTAGATAAATTATCTATAGTTATAGTGTTGGCTTTAAAAATATTTTAAATCAATTGTGCCTATATTAATTGTATTTCGTAGAAGATAAATCATAAATTTAATTTAAAAAATGTACTCACCTTTTAAAATATTTAAAAACTGTGTGTAATTAATGCTTTAATCACACAAAACTTTTAAGAGTTTACGACAATATGTATTAGAATATTATCAAAAAATAACACAAAAATAGTATAACAAACTGGTTAGAGCCAATTGCACTAGTGTTATAATTTTGTTATTTTAAGCTTTTTATACGACAACTTAATGACTAAATGAATGTCTAGTGCATGATCTTGAATTGATTTTGACGAGAAAAAAAATTATGCGTCCGCATAAAATAATATAATTTGAAATTATAAATTAGCAAAACCTACAACAACAAAAAACAATACCTACGAACCAATCAGTAAACACTCGAAAACATTAAAATTCAGTATGATGCACGAATTGTTTATAAATTTCCAATTTTCATTAATTTATTCGTGATGTCCTTGGTAGTTAAAGTTATGTAACTTTAAATAAATAATAATATTTAACATTAAATATTGAGGATTACTTAAAAGGTTCTGACTCAAACAATAAATAACCTTCCGCATACTTTAGGTTTTATATTTTTCAGTGAAAATATACCTGTTATATATAAGTAGGACATTATTTTTAATTTGCAGTTGTATTGATTGTTAATTCTATTTTTTGAATAGTGTCTATGTTTAATTGCATCAATAAATAAAGACAATACTCACTACAGTATTTTCACTGTATTATACCGTCACATCATCATATTCGTAAATTATAAATTTTATATAGGTGCACAGTTAGATCTCCCGAATACTTGCAATGTGTCATAAATCTAACCGCGGCTGGTTTGCGCCATCTTCATTATAATATTTTATGTTGGCCGCAGAAGTCTGAAGTAAATTCGTGATACCTACCTCAGTGATCTTCAGAATCACAAGCTACGCCATGATTCGAAACCTGTCTAATGAGAAACTGGAAGTAAAAACGATACACCGTATGCAGAGTAAAAATAACAATATATATGCAGAGTAAAAATAACAATATATATGCAACAAAATGTTTAAAAATCAAAAGATGGCATTTAAGCATTAAAAAATGTAGGTATACCGAATCAAAAAAATGTCGGGAAACGGGTAACCGGTAACCGTACTCTGGTAAACAGTAGGTACCTACGAATGTACCTCGGTTAATATTGAGCTAGACCCGTAATGGAAGAGTTTGATTTGAGTTAAATGATATAAATCATTGCGTATACGAAAGACTACATTATTATTGCGGAGATGGTCTGTCAGATCAGCTGTGGACATTTTGGTACCTATGTATTCATACTGAAAGTGGCAAACACAGGTTGTATTGTAGTAAATAGTTATTTATTTTACTATTAGTTAAAAGGTTGGTTGAATTAATTTTGAAGAAATATTAAATATTTTATTATATAATTAACCATTTTAAGAGTATATATATATATATATTTGTATTAGGCATTGTTATACACTTTTGAGCCAATACTCGACTTAGCGTAGAAAGGTGTGAAAAGGTTCAATAAAATATAGGTATAAAATGAGAAATTTAGTTTCACTGTGTTTACATAAAATAAAATAATATACCTACGTAAAAGTTTCAAGTCCTTATAAATAATATGTTTACAACAAAATAACTAAAATCGTAATTCTTTGTTTAAATAAGAATATATAATTTCGTACCATGTGAACTTAAAATATCTATAAAAAAAAATTGTGTGTGTATTACATTTACATATATTGAGAGAGAAATTTTTAGATTTCAGTAAGAACTACTTATGACGTGTTATGACTTTATAAGGAACCTTGAATTAAATTGTCAAGCGTTAGATAATTTTCAATATTCGTGTTACTGAACTCAAAATTCTTAAATAAGAGTTGTATATGTATTTTTGATACTTTTATATAACTATAAGTACTTATGTGGGATCTTGTATTAAATACTCTAACTTAAAGGATGATAACTAAAGTGAAAACTACAATAATTTGTACATTTCGGTGACTGCTGAAATCCTAAATTTTGCTCTCGCGCCTAAAGTTCATAAACAAAAATATAGACTTTGTATTTTTGATATATTTTTAAACTTTAAAACCCCAAAACAAAAAATGTAATATATTAATCAAAAATTAAAAAATAACTAAAAATAGCATAAGTGTTAAAATATCTTGAAAAATTTTTCTTGTCTAGTAAATACTAATATGGATAATCTGAGAACATTTTAAGTATCTACATTTATTCGTATTTAATTATATCTAAACCACAAAATTGATTTCCTAGAAAATGGATTTTACTCAAAAATAAATATCATACAAATCAAACACAAAATATTTTATTTAAAATAAAAATCAATTAATATTTGTTAATTCAATTTGTACAATATCTTGTACATGGTACATAGGCACACTAATGTTCAAATAAAAATGTTTCTTGTAGGTATTCAATTTTATTTTTCAAAATAAACTTGAGGTAACATTTGCAATTTACAGAAATGTTTCAACAAAACAAAATAGTAATAACTAATACTAAAAAAAAACTCCCTTTGTTTTAAAATACACAGTTACATAATATAGTGCTACTAAAATAATAAGAATAAATAATTAAAAATTATAAGTATACAATGTTGAGATAGGGAAACAATATTCTATATAACATACATAATTTAGATAATAACAACTATCTAATTAGTTAAATACACCAATATTAGGTATTTATGTTTATAGCAAAGCTATACAAAAAGATACAATTTTTTAAATTGTACACAAACTAATTTTTAAGTCCCCCTCCTTTAAAAACAAAACAAAACAAAAACATTAAATACTATAGTTGCAATTCGGAAGGATAAAAAAATACTTTTCAGATGTAGTTAAATACAAACTCTAAATGCATAAAGTAAATACAAAAATAAAATAACAAAATTATAGTAATATAATTTGAAATTGCAGGACGAATAAATAAATTAAATAAGTTAACTTATTTTGTAACACATTCATAAGAATGGAATTACAATTTAAAAACCTCTGTGCAACAAATAAATAAGTAAAATTAAATAATGTTTTACAAAGAAATCTTGAGGAGTAAAAATAAATAAATAATAATAATAGTCATTAATTTTCGAGTATTTTCTCTTGAGAATTGTAGTAGGTAAGAGTTACATACAGCAATGAATAAAGTTGTGCTGTATACATATCACAACAATAAATTATATTGATCAAAGGATGTGTAGTAAGTTGATCAATACATTTTCACCAGGCCTTAGTAATTCTGTGAACTTAGGAGGAAACTATTATAGAATTTGATGGCACCTTCAAATAGTTTTGAATCTATGATAACATTGTGGAACTCAAAAATCGTCATAAATCTGGAAACCTAGATGGATCTTCAACATAATTCGCTGGTACTTCAAAAAGATTAGAATCTATGTCATCGCGAAACTCAAAAGCCTGGAATGTGATCTTAGCAGACACTGTTGGCAGTATTGGAATATCTAAATGGATAAATTTCAATTTAATTACCATAGTTTATAAGCGTCCAAGAAATATTTTATTTTACAAGTCTTGTTCAGCAATAAATTAGAAAACCCTTGTCACAACATACCTAATTTGACTGGAAACCCTGGTGGTAATTTTAAATTCACAAAATCACGTAGTTTAGCAAAATGTTTAAATGGAGCAGTAACTTCAAGTACATCCATTAGCATAGCAACTGATAGAGGAAAATCCATACTCTGAAAATAAAAAATTATTATTCTATAACAGTTTTTTTCAAAAACAAAAATCGATAAAAAAAATTATATTACCATAGCAACTGTTGCCTTAAATCCTCTTGTTGTGTTTTTAAAAACCATTTCTCTAGCTAGGGCTGGATGTTGTCCCGCCGGAGATGTATAATACTCTTTCCATGTGCACATTGCAGGCATGGGAGGAATAAGTGATTCTCTTCTCACAGGCTTAAAAATAAAAATTATGGAATAACTTACCACTTAGATAGTTCAACATACTTTAAGAATTAAGTAACTTACTTCTCCGTTGCAATCAATACTAATAGCACACCCTCCTTTAGTTAAACTCTCAATGATTGCTTTATTTTTTTGTAGATCTTCTTCTGATAAGTGTTCCCTTCGTTTTTTCTGTTCTAATGTTAAGCCATTAATATGATAAAAATCAGCATTGAAATCTCCAATAGTTTCCTAGATTTATAATTTTTAATTATTAAAGCCATGCAATTTAATAAAGTCAATAAACATGGTTGAATTATGTACCTAAACTGAGTAAAAAATAAATATATATATTTATTTTACTCTATAATAGATAATTATAGATTATCATTTAGCTTATTACATGATATAAAATTCAATATTTATACACATCAAAATATTTTTAGTGATGTATAATATCCTAATTAACTAAAATAAAAGACTTGCAATAATAATATCCATTCATACTTTTCTATCTTGTCGAAATATCCATCCTGATTGAGCACGAGAAAATGTTATTGATTTTGTAGACATTTGCGCAGTCACTATATCAGTACTCATCATTAAATCAACTTCATCTTCAATCTCTGATTCAGTTTCCTTTAAAATTTAGAACTATAATAGTATTTTTCATAATCTATTAAATAGTATAAAAATATTAATTTTCTTACTAAATATCTGACTCTTTGGTAAACACCAGCTTTATTGTCCATGACAATGAGAGAATGTGGAGGCTTAGCATCACCATCAAACAAAAATGTGATTTCTCCACGTTCCCATTTCATATCATTCATTGCAAAATCTACTAATGTTGTATCCAATCTAAAAGATGTGCCTTTTTTATGAATCTGACAAAGATCTGAAGGTAGAACTCGAGAAACTAATGGCACTATAAGGATGTTTGTCAATGAATATTAGTATTTTAAAAGACATTAAAATCAAAACTAAGTACAACTAATCAATATTCACCCCAACTTTGAAAATCCCATTTTATTTGCATATAGAAATCTCCGACTTGTTTCAGTGCAGACACTAAACTAGGTCGCCTTTCTTCAATCTGTTCTCTTGCTTGGTGTTTCATTTTTTTCAATAACGATATAACTAAATCAAAATTGAAAAAGATTAAAATCTTTTAAAAACCATATACATACATATTTATTTATATTTAATATAATATAATCATTAGGTATTTTGTTTTAATTACTGTTTCTCACTGAAACAAGAATGTTATATTTTTAATATTTTTCCCGGGGAGACTAATTTCATCATGTTTTTGAGAAAACATTTTTAGAATTCTTTGGAGAAGACGAAAGAGAAAAATATAAGTTTTTATATCTAGTTATTTTATAATTTAAATTTTAACATTTAAATTATATCAGATAAGTCCATAAATACTAGATAATATGTACAATATGTAAATATAATATTTTTCTAATTTATCTGAGTTAGTGCACCTACAGATTTTTAAATTTGATCAAAAACAACCTTGAATATATTTCAACGGAAATTGCAATAGCTTGATACATTTTTTCTATCATGACTCGTGACTATGTAAAACTTAAAAACAGTAATTTGTTGTAGCTTGTAAGTTATAACTATTCATAATATTTGCATCAAGTTTTTAACCACGTTCAATGAATAAATATTGAATAAGCTATAATATTTAACTCTTCAAATGATTTCAAGAAATACCAGAAAAAGACTTAGGACAAAAAGTCACTTTGAGTCTGAAAAAAAATACAATTCATAGTTAATTTAGTGTATTGTAATCATAGATCTATAAACTAGTTTATAGACCATGATTGTAATATTGATGAGCAAAAAAAAAAATAAAATAATAAGAACTTAACAAATTCTTTGAATCAAATAGTATAAAAAAATATGTTAAAATTAATATAATAAATTAATTTTGAATATTGAAATAAAAAAAATACAGCAATAAATAATAATAACAGTTTTAAAAATTGTTCAAATCTAAATATAAAAGATATTAAAAATACCTCTTTTCTTATGTTTTGCCCTATTTGTGTTAAAAATTTAGATATTTATTTTTTATAGCATTAATTTAATAATAAAATACATAAAGTTATTTATATATTATTATAAAGTAATGTTTTCGGTCACTTTTTATCAGGGGTCTTTTTACCGAGACTTTTTCCAAACGAACGGTTTTTCCGTTTAATGATTTGAATTTCCTTTAGTACCTAAATAATAGTACATACTACAAACAAATGTTATCTGTCTATGGAAATCTTAATTTAGTCGTTAGTTGTATGTATATATTAGTAGAAGTCAAACTGTCAAACGATTGGGAAAAAAGATTCAGTGCTTCATCTGTTCAATTGCATCTTCGTTCGTCAAAATTGTTTATAAATAAACTTAATATGCGGATGCGGTACGTATTCCGCAAGTGTTTTTCAATTTATATGAATTCCCATCATTAAAACATTCCCGACTTCCAAGTCCCTGACTGATATTTTCCCGAATGGTACATAATATTTTGTATTTAATTTCTGGTAACACTGAAAGCATATTATCAATGCTATCAGTTGACACTCCGACAGCGTTTAGTATTTTTTTATTTTTTATTTTTTTTTATAGCTGTAAAAGTGCTAAGTAGTAAGTTGTGAAAATGTGAAATACCGAAATAACGACGTGCACGAATCATATCTTTTTACATATAGCAAATATTGCTGTATTTCACACTCACTCTTGTCTCTCAGACTTTTTATTTAGGTTTTACTACTTATAAGTTAAATTATTCAATTTTCTAAATGTGAACATTTAAATGCAGTGTAAAGTATGTATCTCTCCATGAACATTTATAGTTGACACAATATTGTACTTTTATTTATACATAAAAAAAATCCGAGAGTTAAAATCGTAATAGTTAAAATTTCTAAAATGAACAGTTTACGAAAGCTAATACCACTATGTTCAAAACAAGCATTTCCAGGGAAAAGGTTCTATTCAAATTCAAAAGATTTGACGAAAGAAGAGAACAAGATTTTGTACGAAAAACTCTTAAATAAAAACTATAATAGTGAAAAACATACAGAAGCGAGTTCTTTTGCCAAATTTTTAACACCTCATTATAAATTTGGACCTCCACGTATCATGAATTATGACTGGTCTATAAAAAGCATGCATTCTTGGTATAAGCGCAAAAGAATTGAATTTCACAAATACAATCAACGTTATGTAACTGAACGGGTAAAATCACTTGGAAGCGATATAGCTGCAGCTCATTTTGTTGTTTATCGAGGCGGTGCAATTAGATTTCGAGGGCAAGATGACTTTCTCAAATGGACTAATAAAAAAGAAGAGTACCATATCAATTTACCATTAAATTACGACCCAAAATATTTTGTTGAAGCCATTGATGCATCAGACCTAATGTTTTATTATGAAGGATTAGAAAATTTTAAAAATCTATTTAAATTAAAATGGCTTAAGTTAAGAAATAATCCAGTTTTGGACAATTGGTGCCTAGATTACATAGGGCATGCAATACCTAATTTGGAATATTTGGATATTTCCAATTGTCCCCAAGTAACAGCTGCTGGTATAGCTGGTCTTCAAAAGCTAACTCAACTTAAAACATTAGTGATAAATAGTAATAATATAGAAATCCAAATGGCATGCTTTGCATTGGAAGATACAATTCCTGGATTGTTTGTTGTTATTGAGGAGAATAAAGATGTTAAATTACAAACAAAAACAGAACAACTAAATGTTAATGAAGTGTAGAAAAAATAATTGTATTTTAATAATAGAAATGGTTATTTTTATTGTTAATAATAACACTAGCTGTAGCTTGATTTAATAAAAAGTACATATTGTATATCTTATATTGTTTGTATCTTGGACTTCTTATTTTTATTCAAACAAAGTGTGCATTTGGTGTTACAAAACTCATAAGTCACTTATTTTAGGATAATACTCAATAGAACATAAAAAACACAAAATGAATTGGTTAAGATTATTGAATTATCTATGGGTCAAGTTGTCCATGTATACTACTAAACAAGTGTTTAATAATGCTTAAAATAGTAAGTTAATAAGAACATTTAAAGTGTTTAAATTATAAGATGTAATGGTAACATTTAAAAATATGAAAAAACTTACATAAGGCTATACTATGTTCTTGTATTGAATAATTCAGTTATTTATATTTAATATGCATAAATATATTTTTAGCTCTTAAAGTAAACAGTAAATAATATGTAGTTTTGTTCATTCATTTGAATCTATCAAAATAAAACTTTAAATACTTATGAAGTTAGTTCATTAAGATGAAATTATGTTAAAATAAATACCTAGCCAAATCAGTTTTTTTAATTAATAGTTAACATTAAATTGCACTATCATAACTTGAATTGTGATGTAATTTTGTAATTATTCTACCTTTTATATAACTTTGAGTTGGATAAGATTGTATTATTAAATATTTATCATACGAGTTATGGTCCGAGAAAAAAAATTATACAGGAGTTTGTCAATAATTAAACAGGACTTTATTATAAAGGTTAACGATTTAATTAATTTTTGGTCCATCTATTGACTATAAAAATGCTCACGAAGAAGCTATAATATTGGGTAGATATGCTAGGTTGCTCAAATACAATTACATATATTATACAAATAAGTTAATCTTACACCGCATTGATGTAAGTAAATATTTATAACAATAAATGAACTCACTAGTAAGACGATCACCATAGCTAATTGCTTCAGACAATGGGGTCCATCCATTGATGTTTTTAACTTTAACTGGTGCATTGTGAGCGAGCAATAATTGTACTATATCTGAAATGTATTTCAGATGAGTAAACAGTGTTATTAGTATTGTGTTATCGAGCGACAGGCAGTCATGAGATACTATCGGTTAATGTATGATCGATAATTTCTCAATGTCCTGTCACTACCACCAACCAACCTACCTTTACGACCGAGCATGATGGCCAGGTGTAGTGCCGTGTTACCTGCAACCAACAAATGTAACGATGAAATAAGGTATTCTGTGGTTACGTAGCATGCAAAACCATGAGACGCGATATTTAATTATTGTTGAATACCGTACCGTGTTTGTCTTTTCTCGATAGATCTTCTGTCCTCATCATCCGTGCGAACTTTTGTACATCACCCTCGAATACACATTCGTGCAGTGGATACGACAAGTGCTGTTCTTCCGCCATACCACTGCCGCCGCTCTTCAGAATGTCCGTAGTGCAACTATTTTTAATTATCTGTGTACATACTGTTTCATATTATTATTATTTTGTTATTTTGTTGTTGTCTACCGTCGCGTTCGTCTACATAATAATAATATTAATTGACAATTGCGAGTTCACCGTTTGCACGGTGTAAAAAAAATTATTATCAATGTTATTCCAACGTTCGAAACAGTGATAACAAAATCACAAAATAAATTTGTCCTGTGACAAAAATATGTTGAAAAAAATATGGATGATAAGAGCAAAACCGCCACCACCACTCGTGATAAGTGATAACGTCGAGTTATATATTTTTTCACGACAATTTATTTGGTTGTCGACTCGAAACTTGAACTAAGATCCACTATCTTAATTGACACAAACTAAGATGTATTTCGGTCCGTGGTTGTCGATACTGTCAGGTGCGTGTGGACAAAATTCTATCCTCGCATAATGTGCGCAGGCAGAGCGGCGCACGACTTTCCGACTTCGACGTCCTCTCCGAGTCCTCGGTCCTCATTTTTCCCGACAGTCAGACTGTTTAAACTTTAAACCTTTAATGCAGGGGTTGGAGGGTCTATATTTCTTCAACATTTTTTTTTTTTAAGAAAACCCCACTGCCCTCTAGAAACATGTATTTTTAAATAAATGCTATACTTAAAATGAGTTTGCGGGTCTGAAATAAAAGGCAAGGCGGGGGGCCGTGGGTTGAAGACCGCACTCTTGGATGGATGTGTTAATAAATTTGACGCTGTCGGAGAAAAATATAAGATTCCACTCGACTTCATTACTCTCTTGCCTGTAGCAAGATACTTAATTATTGATAACCCACGCGCGCTCTTACAAATGTATAATTATTATATATTTATAGCGATATAGCAATAGCGTTTGAGAACTTCTTTTAGAAATATTGTTTTCTAATAATTTTATCATACATCAATACATCATAAAGCGGTTCAGCCTTAAAATTTAACGAAATATTTTAAAATCATTTGTAGGTGTATATACTTAAAATATATTGATATGCCGTTAGTGTCGTACTTATACTATATCAATACATTATATTCTAAAAACAATCCTATATGCAAGCTACCGATATGTCACAATACTATACTACATAATACTATTAGTTCCTTTGCTGCGAATAACTGGACGAAAGGATACAGAGAGGAAGACCAATCGTCGAGCATAAAAATCCGGACAAGACTACGCTTACGGATTTCGAAGAATAAAACGGAAGACCTTTGCCAGCATGATTCTAATAATTTCTATGTCAGATAGTCAAGGTAACCTTCAGCTTATGGAATCTCTATTTTTAAATAAGTGAAGTTTAATTATTAGAAGAGGCCTGAGATCACATACTCATATACATATAGACTTAGCCCGTGCATGTACCTACAATAATTATTGTAAGCCTCCACAGCGGTTGACACGCCAACTAAGTTGAGAATATTTATTTTTTGATTGTTATTATTTAAATTAATCAACGATGCAATGACTAATGCCCCCTAGAGCAGTAGTTGTATAGAGATTTCCTTGTCGTCGGTTCCAAACGAAAAAAGAGATTCTATTAGATATTTTGTATAGAAAAGGCGTGTATTAAGCTTCAAACTATGTTCTTGTATTTTAAAATTTGTGTTCTGATTACAACTAAAATATTTGCAAAATAAATGTGAACTTACTAACTTACTTTTTATCAATACAAAATATCAAACTGTTAAAATTTGCATAAGGTATATTTAAAATGTTATTGATATCGTTAATGTCGAAAATAATCGATGTTATCGATCTGGCAATCTGGGCACATATTATGTTAAGAGCAATAGGTCATAACTTATAGCTAAAGTAATAGAGCTAGAAAGCTTGTATTACAAAGCATGTTTTCGGGGAGACAACGAAACCGTTTCCTGGCCGTTTACTGATACAGCATATAGAGTTTCTTCATCTTCAAAACGAAAAAAAACATATTAATAATAATAACAATACATGAATTGTCAAGACTCGAGGGTACCAGAAACACTAAACCGTTGAAAAGGTCGGTTAATGACAGGAGCAACAATTTTAGTAAACAATTTTGACATAAAATTATCGTCAAAACGATTTTTAGTAAACCATTTGTTCTTGGTACCTCTGAAAAACCCACTTCAAGTTATTTCAATTTTAAATTATGATAGCACGGCATCTTGTATAGGCAATTTAGCTACTTTCGTGTCGAGGGTTTATATTTTATATTAGTTTATTGGTTCAATAATTTATTTTAACTAATTTTCATAACACAGTTTTTAAATGTCATTTGGTGAAATGCATTTAAATTTTAAAAGTATTCATACCTTTATATAACACTTTCAAAAAATTGTTTATTGAAATTCGAAATGCCAATTAGTAGGTATGATAATTATTTTTACACATCCATCAAAAAAAATGAATACTTTGTTTATTTCTTTACGACAATATAAACAAATTATTTACCATATTTAGTAATAACACAGTGACCGTTTCTATATTACATTTTTTTTATTATACCAATAGATAATGCTCACAGGATGCCATGGTACATATTGATGTAGACTAAAATAAGTTATTAAGAAATCATATTGTTTAATATGAAATATGTATGTAGGTATATGCTATTAGCCTATTATGGTATAAACCGTAACGGACGCGTTGTTATAGTCGGAATTGGATCTTTCAAGTTTCAATAATAATAGTATAAAATAGGTACTTACAACATAATAACACATTTACATAACACATCAATATTATATTAGATTAAAATAGAAACACCTCACCCTATATTATGTAAAACCCATTTCCTCAACACAGATCATGTATGTAATTATACAAATATTTACAATTATAAAATGTCATAAAATAAATAATAATAAGTATAGTATGCAATTAAAATTAAAGCCTTAGTACAATAGATTTAATCTTAAAATAATCAGTTTTATAGAAATCGGTGTCTCACTACCGCACCTGTATATCCAGTACAATGTACATTAAGTATACATTATGCATAAAATATATGTATATGTCGCCGGCAATATGATGAATTCAGGTATATTGAAAAATGCCTAGGCATTATGTATATTGCCGACCCATTTTAGGTAATATAAATAAAACATATGATTTTCAATATTATTTTATATATAACCTAGGTATTTTATGGAATACCAAGGCGTTATGTAAAATATCAATTTTTTTTAGGCAAAGTAAAAAAACAATTTATCATAATATGTTATAATATTATATTAAGATTCTTATAATTATAATATATTATTACTCATATTACAAAACCTAATTTTTATCTACTATTATATTTTTATACATAGGTATTGCTATATTATTAATATTATTGTTATATTAATTATTAAGTACTATTATTTATACATTTTACTTACTACTATCTACTTATTACTACATGTTATAGAAAAATGGCACTTTTAAGGCAAATGCACTTTTTATTTTGATACTTGTCACTTGATCATACAAACACATTTTAAAAATCATTGGCTAGTTCCTGTCGACTGTTCCTTTGCGACCGTTCTTAACGCCACTTTTGTGCCTGTTGGAACATTGTAAATTTGCAGTAGCTTTTTTTGACATACAGTGAGCTGACTTCTGGCGTATCACTGCTTCAGAACTTCAGAATTGCAATCTTCATTGCACCAAATCGTGCACACGCGGACACGGTGCGTGCATTCACGATAAACTATAACTCATAAGTAAAGTCGCTGGTAATAGGCGATACCCAATTGTGTTTATTTTTATCATATTTCCTACTATACCTTGGACATTATGCATAATACCTAGGGAAAGCTTGTATTATGTATATTTCCGAGTGATGATTTTTGGCATTTTATATGATTCCTAGGTATTTTGTAAAATACCCGATTCTCCATATTGCCGGTAACATATATATGATTAAATACATGGGTAAGTGCACATATGATACATATTTTATTATAACATATCAGTTGAATTGGAATATAAAAATATTGAAAATCTATTATGGAAAACATTTAGAAATAAACGAAAACATATTTTTTCAAATAATTTGTATGTAATATCTGATAATGTAATTTAATAACAATTAAACAATTACCTTAATCGATTGTCCTTAACATCAATAAGTACAATATTTTCGTCAGTACTTGGTAGATATTTTGGAATATAGCCTGTAACTAAGTTATAATTTTCATCAATTATTGATAAAATTAATTATATTAAGTCAGAATAATGTTGGTGATGAATAACAATATTGAGTGGTCTATATTGTTGATGGATGTGTGGTTTTATATAATATAATTATATGGGTAGTTGAACATTTTAAGCTGTATGTCAACATAATAATATACAACGTTGTTTTTAACAATGTATTATAATTTAATACGTTGCAATACATTATGTTTACACATATGATATGTGTAATTCTGTGTAATAAATAATAATAAATATAATAATTATAAATCTTAAATTAATAATGCATTTCATTTTAAAATATTAAAGAAATTAAATTAACACATTTTACGTAAATTGTATATGGATTTTGCATATGTATTGACTACATTCAGAAACAGACCAGGTAAATGATTCTTTTAAAATGTGTGCCAATTCATGTTTTGAAATAACTGTTTTAACCATACTGTAAATTAAAAGAAAAAATATTGTATAAATAGTGAAATCACATAACAGTACAATACAGTGCACGTGCGCATATAGTTAGTGCAATCTACAGAATTATTGATTTCAAAAGTATTGCATAATGGGGTGACCTATAAGCCAATTTTGTATTACTGACAATTTGGCTGTCCATATATCAATAACAAACATAAATACCTTTATGTGTTGGCATTTGAGATATATCACCTATTGATATTCAAGCGTTAAGTAAAAAGTACACATCGTGGACGTTTCATAAAAAGGCACTAAATCACTTTTTCGAAAACCTCCATGCTCCATATGGGACCAATTTAAAGCGC